GTGTGTGTGTGTGTCGCAGCTGATTTACTCTTGGTATTGACCTTTCTACCTCGGTGGTGCTGAGGTAGGATTGCTAGTTTTCCTTTGTGCAGCACATTTCATGTCTGCCTTGGAAAGCTCCGTGGCCGCTATGCTTCCCAACAACATATGGGGTGCGCGCGGAGCGTGGGGGGGGGGGGGGGAGGTGGGGTACATTCCCTCTCCTGTTACCCTTGTGAAAGAAAGTGTGACAGACACAGGCCGGGGCAAGCAAACCAGTGGTTGTGATCAACGCATCAACCAGACGCCTGGGAATGTCGGGGAGCATCGGGGGTACAAGGTTGTGCCTGCGAGCACGTGCCGTCAGGCCACCAGGGTTTGACGCCAACTGGATCGTTGGACCTTCCGTGTAGAGTGAGAGCGCGGGAGGGCGGAAGCCAGACCGCCTCCAAGCGCGGTGCAAGCAAGCAAGCAAGGGAGAGAGGGGGAGAGATCGCGGCCGAGAGAGGAGGAGGGGGAGAAGGAGAATGAATCGCAGGTTTAATCCTCAATCTTATATCATATCGTGTCCCTGTGCCTAGTCTTGGGCTTGCAGGCCCTGGACGCCCAGAGAGCCGAGGCTCACCTGTCGGATCCTTTCAGGGATGCTCATTCCGTACATCTTGCTGGGGTGAGCCATGGAACGGCAACATCTCTCTCACTCTCGCTCTCGCTCTCGCTCTCGCTCTCGCTCTCACTCACTCTCTCTCTCTCTCTCACTTTCGCGTGTTGCTGCGAAAAAGATGTGCCCTGGAACAGCAGGTTCGGGCAGCGACAGAAGAGGCCACTGCCAGTGGCGACCAAGCAACAGTTATGCCTGTCGAAGGTTGATCTTTCAAAGGAAAAGCCCTGAAATCATAGGGACACTTAGGGGGGTAAAGGGGACGGGGGTAGGGGACTATAATTCCTAAAATAGGCCTTACTAGGTACTTATTATTACGTATTTAAGGAGCCCCAACCCAACCCCCCTAAGGGTCGATGAAGCCGTGTGAAGCCCTAACCTCTCTCCTCGTCTTTTGAAGCGAGGCTTCCCTGTTTGAGAGGGAAGCTGCCGCTCGGCGCTCGCATTGCTTGGGGCCTGGTGGCAGCGGTGGTCTATTATGAAAGCATACGTAGGTTAGACAAGCATGTATAGCACATACATGCAATATAATCAGAGACATATGATGATATATGTGTAATTATGTGTACATGGTATGTGCACTTGTATGAGTTCGAGTTCGTGTATACGCACATACATGCAGAGACGACTGTAAAAGGGTTGACATGGTGATGTATTGGCTATGCATGTCAATATGGTGTACGGTTGGTTTCGATGTTAGCCAGTCAAGTCTTAGTATGGGTATGTGCCTAGTTCGCATAATGTTGAGACAACTTTCTTGCTTTCTTCCAGAGCCTGTCGAACATGCTGGATCGGACTTGGCTTTTCTTGAAGGTAATGCTTCAATGTCTCAAGGTCGCGGTTGCATGAGCTTTTGTGAGTGTCCGGAGTTCAGCTAGAAGGCAACAGCTGACCTTGACCCTGAGTCGCCTCGACTGTGGTTTTTTTGACTTATCCTATGAGCCAGAAAGCAACCCTCGGCGACGGGCGAGAGGCAGTTGTTGATTTTCCGGGCCATGTGATGTTGTAACTTATCAGATCATGGTTTACTAGCTGCAAGCTAATGTATGTATATTGCCCGGGCCGGCGAGCCAAGGGAATCAGGGATGCATGGAGACAGCCCCAACAGCCCTCAATCCAGAAAGCCAATGTGTTTTAATGCATGCACGCTAGGCGTCCAGTGATCTGCAGCTGCACTCCGCATATTATGTATGCATACAGAGAGATTGCGCTACTTGTGAAGGCACGCATGTGCATCTATGACACATGGGGCATTTGTGTGAAATGAGTGCCCGCAAATGTACATATCTTTGCCTAGAAGCATGCCAATAAGTAGGCTTTTCCATGTGAACATGTGAGTGAACTCACAGGTAGATGACGAAAACAGATCAGTTGACAACGAAATGCTCCAACACTTGTGCATATATGTGCACAAACACTATCAAAATTCATACAAGGTACCTTAGCCTTATGTATGAATGCATAGATGATCTAACGATCAGTCTACCTGTCTATGTACCTAGCCTAGCTATATATATATATATATATTTATATGTACCTATCTGTCTACCCATCTGTCTATCTATCTACTCGTTCTCTGTTTAGTGATCATTTTGGCATACTTAGGCTGCCGTTCCGGTTGTACGTGTAAACTCTCTGCAGATGAACATGATCGCACAACGGCTTACATTAGAGCCGTGTGCATCTCTTTCACTGCGCTGTGGCTGAAGCTGGCTGCTGCGACCACAGTTGCACTTTGATAATGTCATCACTTGATATGGCCTATGCCAGTTTCTGAGCATGGAACTTCACCGGGTACCCGGGGTTGCGGAAGATCTGGGCTCAAAGATCTCTAGATCTGCTCTGTGCACGAAGCCTGCTCTAAGCTCTAGAGTCAACAGCGGACCCTTGGCTGAATTGGCACTTCTTCTGGCTTCCCTCAACTAAGCTGGGCTGTTGCTGTCAATCGCCGTGATCTGCTGCGCGAGTCAACTGCTGGCAACTCTGCCTTGGAATGTCGCGATGGAGTGTGCTTGAGTGAGGCTGTGCTAGACATTCTGGCAGCTTGTGGTGAGACATGTCTAAGGCCCAGTTTGGTTGCCTGCACAGCTGAGGACCTCCCGTGATTCAATTCACCACCTTTGCTCAACGTGTAGTTTCTTCTGCTGAAGGTCCGCTGTGCAATACGTGCGTGCCAGTTGCTGCTCCCCGACCCTCATCGGTGAAACCGATAGGGCGGGCACATTCCTGAAATTCTGTGGGAAGAAATCTACATACATATCCTAAGGTATCCTCAGATTTCTAGCTGTTCCTTGCTTCGCTCGGTATCGCTGAACTCTTCTTGAGCCGGCTTGCGACAGCACAAAGTGCATCTTTCGCAATGTCAAGTGTCGCGATGGATAACAGCGACATCCAGTCATCTTGCCCTCCGGCTGCATTTTTGAAGGGTCCCTAAACCCTGCCTTCATGCAGATTCCGTGCTTGCCCTGCTTGAATTCTTTCGAGCAGACGGTAGACTCAGTAGCACCAAGTGTTGACAGTTGAGTGCCACGGATCGCAAGGTGGCACTCACAGCTCTTTCGATCTGACGGCTTGTGAAGAGGCTCGGAGACGTGTGGAAGTGTAGGGCTTCAGTATTAGTAGGGTTTCGGGCTTGAGGGTTTCGGGTTTTAGGGTTTAGGGCTTTAGGGTGTAGGGTTTTAGGGTTTAGGGCTTCAGTAGGGCCTTGAAGCATTCCGCTGCGATCTGCTCTACTGCAGGAGGCCACGGCGTACGAGTCCACAGACTTATCGAACTCTCAGTTTTCGAGTGCTCTTACAGCCGCCTTGCGGCAGTGCCTTGGACACACATAATTTGGAAGCGTCTTGGAGAGAAGAGGGAAAACTGGAGAGCCATGGCTGCATGCAGTAGTCAGTGGCCCGACTGCTTGCTTACATGAGACACTGTGAACAGTTCCCAGTTCGCGTTTGGAGCTCTTGCGATTTCAGAGAGGTCCAGAGCTTTAGCACCCTAAACCCTAAACCCTAAACCCTCTAGCGAACCGTGTAGGGCTTTGTGGCCCGTTGCCGCGCAGCCCAGGTTTCAGGGAGATCATGGTCCCCTGTCCAGTACCACAATCAGTCAGGGGTCTGCTGCAAGCGGATTTCCTGTGTTGCAGGCAGGGGATCATCTGCTTGTTTCCCGTGCTTCACCCAAAAAACAGCGGTTTGTGTGACATGAAAGTCGATGTATACTTAATATCATGGTGCGCGGCAGGGCAGGGCAGGGTTTCATGGTGGGCTCGGTCCGGCGTCACGCGGCTTCCCGTGGGTGCTGCGAGCCTCGTGGGTAGTCCAGGCAATCTGCCGGTCATCGCAGGTCGGAGAGTCGGAGAGAGTTAAAGTATGCTACGTGCGGAAAGCGCCAAGACCAGAAATTCAAACTCTGCAGCAAAGAGGGTGCGGACTTGTAGCCTCAGAGCGACTTGGAGAAGCGAAAAAAGGAGGCTTGCAGTCAATGCCTCTTTACCTCCCCTGAGCATGCCTAAACAAATATTTATCAATTACAAGCAATGGTTAATAATGCAGCATAAATTTGATAAATTTTCTAAGCCTCTCTCAGAGTAGAATCTCTTACCTGTTCGACGAAATCGGATGGAACGTGTTCTCGCTCTCACGCGATTTCCTGAATCAAGTGTTGCTACAGCCGGCGCGAAGTGAAACCTCCAAGAACTTCGCTACGCGTGAACGGCACGTGCTGCACTCCCACTGTACCAGCATGCGTTCATGAGTAGCCGTAGCCTTATGTCCCAGGGGGCCAGACCTGAGGGCCAAACCGAAGGAAAGAATATCGTTGCGAAAGTGAGCTGCGGGAACATAGCAGCATCGAGGGCCCTTGGGACCAAGCCACCGAATACGACCGCAAGCATAAACGCCCGAGATGGTGATGCTCATGAAAAGCAGCTGAAGACCTGCGACTAAATCATCTGCAAGGCGTTGCGGTCCGAAGCCTAAAGGGGAAAATCATGTAGAGGCCGAGGGCACAGGAGGAGCGAGTATGGAACCAAGCGACGTTCGTCAGTTCTCCCGAAACCTCCTGCGAAAGGAAAGCATTGCATTGACGTTTTTGGACAGGAATCTTCCGAAGTAGCAGCGAGAGAGTGCGAGACTGCATGCGCTCCACGGTCACATCTGTCGAAACGCAGCTACATGCTGACATTGGTGTTGGTGTTTGTTGGTGTGTGTGTGTGTGTGCTGCTGAAAGCCTGGCAGGTCCCGGATGAAAGCCAGAATCAGGCCGACAAAAACACGGGAGAGGGGGGCCGCACTAGCAGCTAGCAGCTGGCATCTTCAAGTTGCAGTCAGATCTTGTAAGTGCTGGTTTGTCAGCTGGCTTTTGCACATCGTCCGTTGCTAGAGTCGCCATGTGCTCATGACAGTAGCAATGTTCTGCGTACCATTGACATTGATAGGCTGCTGACGGTTCCAGGGTTTCTCACTGAACACAATGTCAGCCGAGATTCAACACAAAAGCGAAAGCAAGTCCAAAAAACAATAAATGCACAATACGTTTGCAAACAAGTAAATACACGTTCAGCAGATGCATGAGAAAAACACAACAGTTGTATATTTGTACGGCAACGGATCGACCTTTGTTGTCTTGGAGGGCTTTGGGCGATGCAAGGGAGTCACCAAGGGTTTCATGGTATACAAGAATCCAAAAGCCTAGCCGAGAAAGCCCAAACTAAAAAGTGAAGGCAACTATCCGATAACGCCTAAGCCTAGAGACATGGAATACCTAAAAGCCGGACCTCTTCTGCTGGAGGCCGCGAGACAAGATTCTCACATTTTTGTTTAAGTTTGTTTTGGTGAGGCTTTCTGCTCAGGTTCTTTCAGTCGTTTGCTTCCTTTCAGTTGTTGATTTTGCTTTTCGGTTTCTGTCGCGCGCGTGCTCGTCGGGCTGTCTACGATAGGGCCGAACGTAATTCGACAGGGTTTATCTGTAAGCACTGTAGCATTAATCATACCACATCGGGCTGTTTCTGTTCGTCAATGACAAGACAGCCAGCTCGCCAGACTCGTACTCGTTTGTGGTGGGGATGTGGGACCGTTGGACATGTTCAGATGGCTTAAGAGCTCGTAACCAGTATACTGTTGGTTGGTGGTAACAAGCTACATTGCCACCACCCCTATTAACTTGTTGGTTCAAAGGTAAGTTGACATGAAAAGCAATGCATCCAAAATTGGCCTGTTCATGGCCTCAGCGGCAAAGAATATCGTTGCTCTTTGGTAGCAGATACTTGGAGTTTGAAAGCCAAAAGTCCAGGCTGTCCCAGTAGTTGAACTCACAAGAACTGTGCGGGGTAAGCACATATCAAATCCAGTTCCTCCAACATGAACGAAGGCCAGACTTTGGGATATTCAGTGTTTCTCTTTTCCTACAGATAGTTGACTATCTCTGTTGGGAATTCTCCAGATCTTCTGAGCAAA